AGTTTTTTTTATTTCAAAAAGGAAATTTAGCAATTGACTTAGATTTTTTGTGTTTCTGTGGGTCGGAATGAGCTAGGTTGAATAGTTATTACCTTTTTTTTAAATGGGGGCAGCGGATCTTCTGAAAAAGATGCGTTACATATTTTTTTTTATTTTCGATTCCAAGTGTAAGTTTACAAAACAGTTAGATAAAAAATGATTAGTGAGCATCATTTTTTTAGATACACGTAAGCAATCTGCCAAAGGAATCACTAAGGTGACTCAACGGTTGCCAACTCATGAAAAATACATCGAAACTCTCGCCTCTGGAAACTTTTACGAGCCGAAAATACTCGCATCATCTCCGAGAGGCGTATTCTGAACACTGTTCTAGCAAACAAAATAGCCTATCAGCCTATGATGATAAGCGATACATCCTCGGCGATGGTATCTCCACATTGCCATACGGTCACTATAGAACCATGAATTCTTCTATCTTTCCAGATAACACCGATAGCAATCAGGATGATGATGAAGACAATGATGATAGCGAAAGGAACGTGAGTGAAACTAATAGCACCAGTCACCAAGAAGATGAAGATTTAGTTGTTTGGCTGAAATTTTTCAAGGAAAAAAATGAGATAGTCGACTGGGATCAGGAGAACTCGAACCAAAAAGAAATCTTCACGCAAGACACGAATTATGGGTCGGAAGATAGCTTCCTTGAGATGACTACTCAACCGAGCCGATCGTTGAGAGACCTGTTAAACGTTTTCACAAATTATGAAGCTCCAGATCCAGGTAGATTTCGCGTCACAGAAATTGCTGAGAACTATATCGAAAGCGATGGTTTGGTTGATTTAAATGCAGTCACTTCTTCTCCTTCGGATGATGAATGGTACCTCGACCGCGAAGCAGTTGAAGATTCAGCACCGCACTCAAAGAGACGCAAAACAAACAAAAAACTCTAAGGTTGTGTGTTTGTTTCAAGTTGAATACAAAACTTGATGTTGTAAATTAGTGTACTAAATTATACTTACTTTAGTGGTTTTGAGAAATTTCATATTGGAATTGACTCCAAACTGTTTTTGGTGCCTTTAAACGACACTTGTTTAGAAGATTGTGTGTATAATTTAACCAATTCGTTTCATATCTCTTTTCACCAAGACCATAGAATTTATAGAAACATTGAAAGAACCAATTCGCGAAGACCCTCAACAGCAAAATGCATTGAATAATTTTAGTTCAATTTTAGTTTAACATTGCTTGCCGAGCTATAGCGGCGAAAGGAAATAATATATCGCCCGAACGATTTCGTTTTAACCAACACATTTTTCACATAAGGATCATTGAGTATAAAAATTATACATTGGGATCATTAGGGATCAATAATTTTACATACGGATCAGTAGCTATTAAATTTATACAGAGGGATCGTTAGGTATAAATATTTTACATAGGGATCATTAGGTATAAATATTTACGTAGGGACTATTATGTATAATCTATACCCAATGATCCCTTTATGAATCACCCCCTGCTCCTAGTAGATTTATTTTCATCTTAGAGATTGAAAATCTACTGCATGAAAAACTCTGAAGACGTATATATTTTTTTTTGGTTTGCGTCGCGTTACGATGAAAAGGCTTGGTCCGTTGTTCAATTTTTCACCTGATATTTGCCATTTCGTTTGAAATATCGGAGTAGTCTTATTGAGACGTAGAGACATTTCTATTAAACTGTCTATGCCATCTAACTTCTTACAATTTTGCAATTTTGATTTTGATCTTAATTCTAGTATGATTAGTAGGTCTTGTTTTTGAGACTTCTTATCGCACCAGATGAGCTTAAGACCGAGGTGGCTCACTCATAGAGTAATTTCAGGTAAAGTACACCGTCTGTTAGTCACGCAATCTTATTTTCGGGTGGATAGACTCGTGCAACTTTTTAATCTATCACCAATCCTTATCTTACTCTTATATCTCCTAGTCTCAAAAGATTTAGTGTAAACTGGTATTTGCGTGTTAGGTTTCTGGAAGTTGTTCCAAGGAGAACAACTGTCTTCTAAGATTTATTCAAATTGTTCTAGTCTGAAACTACAAGTAGTTTCAGCACTACAAATAATTGTCAAAGTTAGCTATGGATCATAGGTTGGTTAGTAAGTAATACTTTATAAAGAATATAATTGGTTTATAAATACTAGTTTCAAAATGGTTCCAATATAATGGCGCCAAGGGCGACTTTAGACAAATTTTAAGGCAAGTCATCTAAAAGTGGATATCTCAAAAAAGTATAAAGGGGGATCCTTTTGGTCGGCAGGGCGTCGAATCCCTAAGGGAAGAGGGTGCCCGCACACCCCCTCTCACCTAAATCCGCTGTTGGTTTCCGCCATTTGAGTATTCGACCTACATCATCTCGGAGAGCCAAGTCAAACTAATTTTCGAACTTAATTGAATATTTTTAATGCTTTACAACGATGAATACATCTTCAACATATTGCTTATTAGTATTTGGAATACAAAAAAAGAGAGTTAGTACATTTCATTCAAAGTTACCGGCTCAAAAATGTTCAAAGACCGCTTTTTTTTCAAAAATTAAAGTTCCGAAAAATCGGAAAAATTTGAAAAAATTTAAAATTTTTTTTTTATTTCAAAAATAAAAATTTGGCAATTGGCTTAAAATTTTTGTGTTTCTGTGGGTCGGAGTGAGCTAGGTTGAATAGTTATCACCTTTTTTTAAATGGGTGGGTGCGGATCTTCTGAAAAAGATGCGTACATATTTTTTTTTATTTTCGATTCCAAGTGTAAGTTTACAAAACAGTTAGATAAAAAATGATTAGTGAGCATCATTTTTTTAGATACACGTAAGCAATCTGCCAAAGGAATCATTAAGGTGACTCAACGGTTGTCAACTCATGAAAAATACATCGAAACTCCCGCCTCTGGAAACTTTTACGAGCCGAAAATACTCGCATCATCTCCGAGAGGCGTATTCTGAACACTGTTCTAGCAAACAAAATAGCCTATCAGCCTATGATGATAAGCGATACATCCTCAGCGATGGTATCTCCACATTGCCATATGGTCACTATAGAACCATGAATGCTTCTATCTTTCCAGATAACACCGATAGCAATCAGGATGATGATGAAGACAATGATGATAGCGAAAGGAACGTGAGTGAAACTAATAGCACCAGTCACCAAGAAGATGAAGATATAGATGTTTGCCTGACATTTTTAGAGGAAAAAGATGGAATAATCGACTGGGATCAGGAGAACTCGAACCAAGAAGAAATCTTCACGCAAGATACGAATTATGGGTCGGAAGATAGCTTCCTTGAGATGATTACTCACACGAGCCGATCGTTGAGAGACCTGTTAAACGTTTTCACAAACTATTAAGCTTCAGATCCAGGTAGAATTCGCGTCACAGAAATTGCTGAGAGCAATATCGAAAGCGATGGTTTGGTTGATTTAAATGCAGTCACTTCTTCGCCTTCGGATGATGAATGGTACCTCGACCGCGAAGCAGTTGAAGATTCAGCACCGCAGTCAAAGAGACGCAAAACAAACAAAAACTCTAAGGTTGTGTGTTTGATTAAAGTTGAATACAAAATTTAATGTTGTAAATTAGTGTACTAAATTATACTTACTTTCCACGTTTGTTCACAATTAGGTAAGGGCGGGCTGCTTTAAATCCACTTTTGGTTTTGTGTTACTATTTTATCGGGAGTGGTTTTGAGAAATTTCATATTGGAATTGACTCCAAACTGTTTTTGGTGCCTTTAAACGACACTTGTTTAGAAGATTGTGTGTATAATTTAACCAATTCGTTTCATATCTCTTTTCACCAAGACCATAGAATTTATAGAAACATTGAAAGAACCAATTCGCGAAGACCCTCAACAGCAAAACGCATTGAATAATTTTAGTTCAATTTTAGTTTAACATTGCTTGCCGAGCTATAGGGGCGAAAGGAAATAATATATCGCCAGAACGATTTCTTTTAACCAACACAATTTTCACATAAGGATCATTGAGTATAAAATTTATACATTGGGATCATTAGGGATCAATAATTTTACATACGGATCAGTAGCTATTAAATTTATACAGAGGGATCGTTAGGTATAAATATTTTACATAGGGATCATTAGGTATAAATATTTACGTAGGGACCATTTTGTATAATCTATACCCAATGATCCCTTTAGGAATCACCCCCTGCTCCTAGTAGATTTATTTTCATCATAGAGATTGAAAATCTACTGCATGAAAAACTCTGAAGATGTATATATTTTTTTTGGTTTGCGTCGCGTTACGATGAAAAGGCTTGGTCCGTTGTTCAATTTTTCACCTGATATTTGCCATTTCGTTTGAAATATCGGAGTAGTCTTATTGAGACGTAGATACATCTCAGTTTCAGCGCTACAAATAATTGTCAATGTTAGCTATGGATCATAGATTGGTTAGTAAGTAATACTTTATAAAGAATATAATTGGTTTATAAATACTAGTTTTAAAATGGTTCCAATATAATGGCGCCAAGGGCGACTTTAGACAAATTTTAAGGCCAGTCATCAAAAAGTGGATATCTCAAAAAAAGTATAAAGGGTGATCCTTTTGGTCGGCAGGGCGTCGAATCCCTAAGGAAAGGGGGCGCCCGCCCACCCGCTCCCACCTAAATCCGCTGTTGGTTTCCGCCATTTGAGTATTCGACTTCTATCATCTCGGAGAGCCAAGTCAAACTAATTTTCGAACTTAATTGAGCATTTTTAGTGCTTTACAACAGTGAATACATCTTCAACATATTGCTCATTAGTATTTGGTATACGAAAGGAATGATTAATTGAATTAGAGCCAACTTTTTTAGCAGTGCGAAAATTTTTTAGTAATCAAGTGTATAACTGTGCAACTTTTTAATGAATACTACTCAATTGTTTTGATAATCTTAGTGATCATATAAAAGTTTTTCTTTTTTTCTGTTTTATTTATGATCAACTCTTTGATTTTTGACTTTTCATTCGCATTCTATGCTGGAATCGTCTAATTCCTTTTCCTCCAAAGAACTGTTCTTTGCCCCATAGAAGAAATATATTAAGAGTCCACAGGTAACCCAAATAGCTGATCTGGCCCAAGTCACCAAACTTAGCTGAGTCATCAAGTAGAAATTCACGAAGACCGAAAAGGCGGGTAAAACTGGCACGAAAGGTACTCTGTATCCATTGTCGTCCCCATAATCAGTGATACAAGAATTCGACCAGAAAAATGCCAAACAAAACCCAGCTATACATAAAAAGCAAGCAAAAGAGATGATGCTTACCCAAAACTCTACGAATTTATCAACTGTTGCGTTTTGGGCGATTGTCAGGGATATACACGCAAGGAAAGCACAAAGAAGAAACAAAGTTGCCGAAATGAATTGTTTTTGGTTCCACTCTAAATTACGTTGGTTCTTGTCGGATTTGGATATTTCGTGAAATATAGTTTTCGGGGAATTGTTTTCGTTTCCATTCCCAAGAAGGCTGCTTGCTTCATCGCATAAATCAGTTGACCAGTCGTGTTTTGGAAATTCTAGTATTGTCGTTCGAAGTTTGATCACTGCAAACGCGATAAACGCGTACGCCACGAGATTTCCAAATTCCATCATATCTGCTAAATCTTCAAGTGGTACGAAAAAAGCAGTCGGAATTACTATCATCGCCCCGCAAACTGTGGCAATTATTGGCACCTGCGTTCTTGCATTAACTCGAGCCAAAAATCTAAACAGAAGTCCTTCAGAAGCTATTGCATAGGTCAATCGTGATATGCACATGATATTGGAAATAACGATACACGACAGCGACAGGATAGCTCCTGCTGAAACTGCGTTTGCAGCCCAATGTAAGCCGTTATAATCAAAAGCTGCTGATAACGCGTTCGTTTCAGAAATGTCCAAATATGGTACCATTATGGTAAGGGAAACGGCTATTAAAGACATGAGACCTGTTACGAATAAAATGGTGGTAATTTTAAATAAAAGATCTGTGCTACCGGAACAGATCGAGCGGGGTTTTTTGCCTCCTCGCTGGCCACAGTTGCCACGTCGTATCCCAAAAAGAAAAAATAAACACGAGAGGCGCCAACGAAGACAGATGAAAATCCATAAGGTAAAAAATTGTTTGACCAGTTAGACCAGTCGCCCAAAAACAAGCCCATTACGACGAAGAAGATGAGAGTGAGCAGATTCGCACTGGTCAAAGTATTGTTCACGATTGCCGTCTGACGCAATCCTAAAAACATGAACAAACATTCATCTTTTTTATTTACAATTTACACTTTTGCAATTTTTCAGTAGTCGTTTTATTGCCCTTAGTTTGAAAATGAGGCCGCAAACCGATATTTTGATCTAGTTACGCTTTAAAGCTGCTCAACTTTCTGAAAATCTTGGAACCAGTTTAAAACTAGTATTTATATCCAGTTATCATATTGACAAAACTATCTCTAAAAATACTTCTTACTAACCAATCATGATCCATTATTTTGTGAGTTGTTCATTTAGTTTAATCTATTGACCTTGGCATTAATTAGATACCTGCCAACTATGCTTCATATTGACCATCGGTCGATCATTGTTCATTGTTTAATGGTGTTTTAGAATAGACTACTATTTTCATTCTTAACCATCTTATTCTTTTAATTCCTAGTTAGTGTACATACTTGTACATATTCAAGGTTATCATTAGAATAGTTTCTTATGGCGCAGTCAAACAAATCGAACCTGCGGGGAATTCCTGCATTTTGGCCGAACCACACTATGGAACCACCGCATTCCTGGACCCACTGGAGCGACCAATTTCAATTGACCATTATAGCGAAGGAGAATCTGGATATCGACAATCTAAGCGGACGAGAGGTACCAGAAGTTCAGTTTCCAATCCTCGAACAGTCCACAGGAAGTGAGTTGGAAAATGAACGAGCCAGTCGAGAGGCAAGAAATAGAATTACTATGAAGTCCTACGAAGTCGCCGAAGAGAAAAGAAAATCAGACGAAAAAAAAAAAGAATTTCGGAGGGTTGAGACGTGCGGAATCTGACAAAAAGTTGAAATCAATCCTATTTTATTGAAGGGAAGAGGATATTCTCCCAAAAAACCCTAGAGTGAAAATTTTAGCTATCTTTTTCAAAGAATTTTGGGGTCTTCTGGACCTTGCTTTTAAAAAACCTCCAAACGTCATATTTGAGATGTACAAACTCTTAAATCAATAACAAAGAGAAAAGGAATCTTTCGAACAGTTCTGAGGAGCAATGAAGGATCTAGCTAGCACGGGCAACCTATGAATGAAGAATAGCGAGACCCAACCGAAACTTCTATCGTCAACCATTAGCCCATTGGAAGCTTTGAGCCAGGCCCTAATAGACGGAAAGGCTATTTCAGCCAACAAAAGTTCACGAAAATGGCAAAAGCAACCAACGGGCCAAGCTTCAAACCATTCAACGAAAAAAACCATCTCAAAAAAAACAAGCTTGAATATTGAAACAAGCAACTCCAACATGAAATGCGGAAATTTTTTTTACTAAGGGGCATCTAAAAGTCTGTCCGGCCAGAAATATCATTTGTGAAAATTGTAACTAAAAAGGCCTTTTCGCAAAATTAAGTCAAAGATTAAAAGACCATCTGTAAATTTTGAAATAGATTCTGTCAATACCGAAAACTGTAAAAACGTAACGTCGGAATATTTCTGGAGCGAAAACCAAGAAACATGTGGAGTGATCAACGCCTGGAACGAAAAGGTCAAACCGACGATGACGACAATTCAGTATTGAGCGTGAGGACACTTCACGACCAAAACGGATCGGAAACGAAAAAATTATTAAAACACAAGTAGGACTCGGGTGGTAAAAGATTGCAAATATGAATATATCTGTCGATTCGGCCAGCCCAGTGAATTTTTTTTAAAACGAAACTTGTTACATGAACTGAAAATACGTTATCCCAACTTCAAGATACAACCTGTAGATGAACGCACGAAAGAGTTGTACTGTGGTTTCACGGATAGCAAAAAGAAAATTTTGGGGAAAATAGTAGTCCGAACACAATCCAACGTGTGGATATGTGAAGAGACCCTTTTTCTACGGTAAGACAGGAAAAAAATATCCTGGCCAACGACAACCATCCAAAACTGTGAATTGAATTGACACAGAATAAGTGTCCAGTGCCGATCTGTACAGTCGGCGAACCATCGGGGAAGAGTAAGTCAAATTACTTAGAATTCTCGACAAATGAAACTTATTTTCAAAACTTATTTAGTAGAATTGGAAAGATACCAAACGGTCGCAAAATTACACATTTCCAACCCTTTTTTAAATTGATCCAAGCAAAAGGCAGAAGGGTGGCGTTACATTTGTTATCGGGAGTGAACGAGGAAGTAAAAAAGATAGGAAAAGAAGGCCACATTAGAAAACTGGTGAAATGTGACAAAGATTGCTTTATAAGTCCAATAGTTATAACTAGAAAAAAAGATGGCTCAACTAAACTCGCAATAATTTCAAAACTACTGAACGATCAGATTTTTAAAGAAATACCAGATGCCCAATATACACAAATTGATTGATAATGTAGCCTTACAATTGTCAGAGAAGACCAACGGGCAGATCTGGTTCAGTAATCTCGATCTAAAGAACGCGTGTAGTCAACTTCAGTGATGCGAAAGGACAAGTAAACAATGCAATTTTAGTATTGTAGGAGGTGATACTACTGGGACTTACAGATTTTAAACCGGATTTTATGGAATGGGCGATATGACTAACGTGTTTCAAAGAGTCGTTTTCCCACTTTTAAAAGGAATTCCTTTCACAATTTTTTTATAGGTTACATAGAAATCTTCTAATCCCGGAAAAAATCTCCCAACTTTGTTCAATCTTCGGTTTGATTGACCAATATATTAAATTTCTTCCGAATTCGTCTCTCTTAGGCTCCCCACTACGACATCTAGTTAACCTAGAGTCATTGTACCAATGGGACAACAATCATTCGACTGCATTCGAAAAACAAATTTCCGAAATTGTTAGTATTACCGAGAATAGTCATTTCGACATCAAAAAAAACAAGACTGAAAACAGACGCTTCACACAACGGCCTAGTGGCCTCACTTGAACACTTTCAAGTGCGAGAGTGCAAAACGATTGCTTTTGCCTCGAGATTTGTTAATAAAAAACTGTGAAATGAAATATTCAACCAACGAACTTGAATTGCTAGGCGTAGTTTGGGCATGCGAGCACTTCAGAAATTCATTATATAGCTCTGATTTCGAAATTGTTACAGACCACAAGGCGCTTCTCTCTGGACTTTCGGCAAACCGCAGCAGCAAAACAATGCATAGCAAATTAACCCGTTGGATAAATAGACTGTTACCTTTCATTTTTAAAATTTGTCACCTTCCGGGTAAAAATTTATCTTTGATCTACCTCATCACCCCCTTCTCGGTACGATGAAGAATTTGTCGGGGCTTTTATAGACAAAAATCGTAGAATTTTAACGAATTCACCAAAATTTGACTTTTGTAAACAAAGTTGACACAGACCGACCGTCAGTCGCTGTAAATTCAATTGTAATTACTTATCTCCCTTCAAGAACGGTTAATTCAAGCGAGGTGATTGGTCAAAATCTTACTGACAGTCCATTAGCTGCATTTAATCTTAGAATTATTGCTGCTATTATTTCTTGTAGTGCCAAGTCGCTAAAGATTCGTAACTATTCGCACGTCAGATCGGAAAATTGTATATCATTTTGCCTCCCGTTAGCAAACTCAAAATTCAATAACGAAAACATCTCAATTTCGGATGAAGCCCTAATATTTTTCAAAAAGCTTAACGGAAATTTTTTCCAAAAAGTATCGAATATCACGGGTACAATATCATCGAAATGTTCAGATCCTCTAGTAATTATCCTAGAGGAACACAAAATTGCTTTAAAATTTTAAAATGATCTACTTAATTACGATCACTCGGCCTTATTGAAACGTTTCAAAGCAAGCTTATCTCTACCTTATCTCTAAATTTATCTTCTCCAATTATACCGGAAAATCATTGCTCCAAGAAGTTACTTCAATATTTGACATAGGACGACAAAATCTCATGGGACCTAATCACGACATTGAAGACAGGACATCCACTGGGAATTCATGGATCGTACATTAAAAACTACGAGAAGGGCTGCACGCTAGAGACGAACTGCTCATCATAGACAACAAAATAGTGGTGCTCATTCAGTTCGATGTTGCTCATTCAGTTCGATAATGCATGAGTCCCATCCAGGCTAGTTTGGCATGAAGTCCCTGGCCGAATATATCTAGTGGCCGCTTATTTACAGGGAAAATATCACCACGGCGAATCTTGCAAACAAGGTTCGAAAGCCGGTAAGAGCCTTAAATTTTGATCGGATTGGCTCAAGTGAGCAAACTACCGGACCTGTCATTCGCTAACGAAGAGACTAATTTAGATTTCGCCGGCCCTTTGGACGCTTTTATGGGACAGATGAAATAAATCTTTCTGTCCATCTGTGCATAGATCGCTTTACCAAATTTCCGTCGGCGAAGGTAGTTAACAACACGTTTGCAAACTCAGTTGTTCTTTTTTGAACGATTACTGTCATCTCCTCGGCTTTCCAAGAAAAATCAGAATCGACCATGGCTCATGCTTTTTATCACACGGAGTTAAATATTTCTAAATATTTCTGCGAAAAGTATAAAATAAAGACCATTTATTGTACCGTAGGTGATCATAGATCAAATGGACTCGTTGAAAGACTTCTATGTACTATAAAAATTAAGCTTCTCGCCATGTCGTTCGAATTACCTGAGTTGATTTTAAATCCTTCAATCGAGTTTTACAGGCGAAGAATTAACCAGCGGACCATCGGTCGCGGCCCATTCCAGCAGTCTTCCAGGACCACTATCATCCGGTTCCGCAT